TCTTTGTAGTCGCTTTATGTTTCTTTGTGGTTGTTTTGTTTCTCTTTTTAGTCGCTTTATGTTTCTTGGTGGTCCTGTTGAGTCTCTTCCTGGTTGGTGAAGGCCGGGGGGATCTGGGGTTTGGGCTCCTGGCTCTGTGCCCAATAGGCCTATTCAGTAATCAATCCATGAAGCTAAAAGGACAACAACATTAAACAAGTTATGAAAGATGCCCGCTACATAAAGCTACTGAACCATATCTCTAAATCATCACTTGGCTTCAGTAGGACTCATCCTCAGGGATTATAGCAGGAATTATAACAAACACAACTGCTGTGATCTAAACACATTTCCCCCCAGTGAATTGGCACCGATGCTCCAGGCAGGAAATGAGCTCAACAGATTAGACAAGCATGAGCATGAGCAAACAGTTACGACCATCAGCGGCGGCATAAAGGGAAAACAAACTATTATTAGGGCACATTTGTCTATGTCCATTATGATTAGTTTTAGCCAATTTCTCAATTATGTGGTATGAAAAAACTTAGTTTCTAAGATGGTGGAGCATCAATATTGTTTTTATAATACAGAAAAACACAAAAAGAAAGTGGGAAATTACCTTTGGCTAAGGTTAACTCACCAGCTAAGGTTAACTCACCAGCTAAGGCTAAACCACAGCTAAGGCTAACTCACCAGCTAAGGCTAACCCACAGCTAAGGCTAACTCACCAGCTAAGGCTAACCCACAGCTAAGGCTAACTCACCAGCTAGCATAAATTAGCGTGTGTTTGGTTGACCTGTCTTCTAGTTCTTGCAAATCTTACATGCTTTTTCAAAATAAAGTACACCATTTTATGGCATAATAATATGTACATACTAAAACAGATGTCCAGAAGATTACATCTTTTTTCAATTTGACCAAAATACTGCAGGTGTTTCTTCATTTAGTCTTTGTAGTGCAGCTCAGTCCCACACAGTGTTTCCTGTCTCTATTAACATTCAGGTCAGTGATATGAAGACGAGTTCATTATCGCACATAAACAACAACAGTGCACTCCGGAGGACATCGAGAGGAAACTCGTGGACATCTAAAGGTGACTCAGCATTACTTTAATCAATTAAGGTTTTTATTTCCCCGTGGAAATCATTAGTCATTATGAAAACAAAACAACGAAACAGATTTTGTTGACGGTGTGCATGCAGAATGATTTTAGATCAACTTCAAACTAAATATCTGTTGTACTTTGAATATGTGTAGAAGTAAATGTGACACAATTTGATCACAAAAATAAAAGTCAACGTGACAGGATGCAAATGTGTGTTTGTTCTTTTGCAGTATTTTTATACATTGTGTAATGTTTCTGCCTTTATCACCAATGGAGGTACTTATCTGACAGCTTTAGTTTCTTTACAAATTAAGATTTCTGCTCACGAAATACATTAAATTGTAAAAGCTGAAACATGGAGTGACCGGAAATCTGCAACTATTCTGATAAACAGTCACAGTTTTAATACCTTAACTACATTTTACTGATTGTACTTAAATACCTTTACCGAAGAAATATTTTTTCAATGTAGGCTATTACAAGTAAATACAATAAGCAATAGCACAGTATAAAAATACACGTTACAAGAAGTTCTCCATCCAAAACTTTACTTAAAGGGACAGTGTGTAGGATCTGACACCATCTAGTGGTGAGGTTGCAGATTACAACCAACTGAAAGTTCTCCAGTGTGCCAATCATGTCGTAGGACGAAGGTATCCGATGAGGAAACATGAAAACCAAATGTCCCTCTCTAGAGCAGGTGCTTGGTTTGTCCCTTGTGGGCTACTGTAGAAACATGGCGTACTGTATGTAGATATAAACGGCTCATTCTAAGGTAACGAAAACACAACGATTCATACTTACAGGTATACATACACTAAAGAACACACACTTATTAATATTATATTACAATTCTGTGAATCCCATAAATTGTACACACTTCCTTTAATATAAAAGTACATAAGTGTTGCAACAAAATGTACTTAAAGTATCACAAAGTAAAAAAGTACTCATGGTGCGAATTTTAGCAAGTATTATTATATTATTTGTTTATTATTATTGATGTATTAACATGCGAGCAGCACTCTAATATTGTCGTAAAACATACCAAAGGACCATGGATCGTATTTTATACTATTATTTCTGTAGTGGTAGTAATATAAGTAGTTGTGGTAGTATTGCTGTTCTTATTATATTCAGAATACATATGTCTCCCAAATCAAAACGTACAACATATTTTTTTTCTCTGAGATGAGAAGTTGAAGTATATAAAGCAGCATAAAACGGAAATACAATAGTTAAGTACAAGTACCTCAAAAAAAGTACACGAGTCTTGGATATATTTCCCACCACTGAAGCAGTTTCACCAGCTGGTAATAAAGAAGGAGGCAGACACTGGGCATGCCCAGCCCGGTGGGGAGGGAGAGAGGAGAGGAGAGGAGAGGAGAGGAGAGAGGAGAGGAGAGGAGAGAGGAGGCTGGATGGGAGAAGAAGAGGAGGGAGGAAGAGTGGAGGAGTTGGGATGTCTGAGAGCTCGATCGAGCCGACGAGGACTTACATGTCCACTTCACAGCATCGCGTCTGAACCAGAACCATCACTTCACACGACACACACACACACACACACACGAGCGCGCGTTTGGGATCTCGAGGCAGAAGCGGATAAATGTGGACCGCAGTGTCTCATTCGCAGCATCTCATCATCTCCGGCAGACAGACGCCGCTGCTGCAGAGATAGCATCACATCTCCTGGTGAGTAGGCTACTGGCACCTTTATGAAGCCACACCGCACCTTCGAGCTCCGGCGGAAGGAATGACGTGTTTTATGTTGAGCTGCGGCTGGTTTGCAGCGTGGTGGTGGTGGTGTTGCAGCCTCGGATGCATGCGGTGTTAAGTGCACAACTTGAGCCACGTACTGGAGAGAGAGAGAGAGAGAGAGAGAGAGAGAGAGAGAGAGAGAGAGAGAGAGAGAGAGAGAGAGAGAGAGAGCACTGCATCGCAGCCAGCCGGACCTGTAGGATGCAGAGAAATAAAGGTCACACACCTCACCAACAGCCGCTGTCTTTGACCCGCAGAGCCGCCGCTAAGTTGCGCCCTTGGGCAGGAGAAGTTGGCACCACGGAGTGTGTGTTTTTTTTAAAATCTCTCTGAGGTGAGTGTGTGTACGTGAGAAGGGTTTCAGATAAGTTTGTCGGCACCTGAGGACAAGAGACATACAGGTGAGCGCAGACCTGCTGTGTTTTTGAACAGTGTCTTCTAAATGATTTTTTTTGTTTTTGTTGAGAATAATAAGATTTAATGTGTGAATGAAAGCAGGAAATAGTGATGTCTTACTGCGGTTGTTTTGTTTATTTCATGAGTTATATTTGGTTTATTAGTAAAGCATTCAACATACTTTGTTACAATCTAAAACAACCGAGTGACAGTTTTCATGATAGTCTGAGCCTTATTTAAGCCACATTGACTGTTCTCCAGCACATTTTATCCATTCAACGTTTTCACAATTTGTCGTCATTTTGGAGAACAAACATTCAATCGGGGAAACCTAATAACACATTAGTTTATGTGGAAAATAAAACATGTTTTATTCCTTTCACAGACAGAAACATTTTCACGATGTCTCGTCACTTTAGAGACCAAACAATCAAACCTACCAACCCGTTCGTTTTCACTGAAGATACAATTGAATATTTGACAGAATCAGATCCGCATGCTGCTCCTGATGATAAATGACACTGCAGGAAAAGTGTCTTCTCTGCAGCTCACAGAGGACATGAGCTGCATGGGGGGGGGGTTACTCAAACCCCCCCCCCCCCCCCCCAGTTTATGAATCTGGGGCTCCGTCTAGACTCGTCCTCTGGGTTTAAAAGGGGAGAAAAATACTCTATTCTTCTCACCTTTCCTGGAGAGAAGAAAGACACACACACAGTAAACACACATCTGTTTGTCAGAGCGTCTCTCTGTGGAATCAGCTTCAGTCCAGCTGTTTGCGTTTGTCACACTGAAGATACAAAACTTAAACTTCATCAATTTCAGCATCTGAAGTATCAGGAGAAGAAGAATGTGTTCAACCATCTCGAGATGCTTTCTGGACTATCCTTCCCTGCCTGGTTCCTCCTGAAGATCTAAATCTACCCGCTCGCTGACAGCACACGGATCTGGAAAGTCAACTTGTTTAGGTTGAATTCTCCATCTTTGGTGGTTTAACGCCCTTACAGCTTGACAAGCTGTTGCACTCCGCCGTACTTCCGTTGCCAAACATCCCCTGCTTTATGGTCTGTTTGACTCTAAATGGACCATAATTTACTAAATGAACATCATGCTGTATTGAAGAAGACTTGAAACTAGCTTCACTCGGCAGAACCAGGCGGCAACCTTCGGTTCTGAAGAGTGAAGCCATTGCTTCGTGTGTTAAACCTGCATTCTCTCTAGTGTCCACCAGGGGGCGACTCCTCTGGTTGTATAGAAGTCTATGAGAAAATGACTCTACTTCTCTCTTGATTTATTACCTCAGTAAACATTGTAAACATGAGTTTTTGGTCTCAATCTCTAGTTTCAAGTCTTCTTCAATACAGCATGATGTTCATTTAGTACATTATGGTCCATTTAGAGTCAAACAGACCATAAAGCAGGGGATGCTTTAGGGCGGGGCTTACTGTGATTGACATATATACGGCATCTCTACATCACTCCTCCTCAGTCAAAATATGGTCACTTCCTGTTCACTGGTTGCAAAAAAAAACAACATGGCGACGGACGTAATCCAAGATGGCGAACTCAAGGCTTCAAAAGGACAGTCCGCAAACTAATGAGTGACGTCACGATGACTACGTCCACTTCCTATATACAGTTTGTGGGCAGAACTAGAGGTTGCCGCCTCCTACGTCTTCATCGTATACAAACTTTTAAAAGTGTCTGTATCTACTTTTCTCCCGCCATAACAACGTTCACATAGAGCGTCATAGCTATAGGACCGCCAACCAAGCTGTATTTGACAACCTGGGCCTCGTTTTGTACCTTACCGAACATAACAAAGAGGTTCCTCTTCACACATCAGGCGTTGATACGCACACAATACTTGTCAGTACTTACATTCACTGTTGGTTTTGCTTTTCTCATTAAATGCATTGAAAATAAATACAGAAACACCAGCAGGCTTTTCCTTTCGTCGGAGGATAAAAGGTTGTGTTGTCGGAGGCCGGACACACACAGATGTCTGTGTGCGAGCTGTGAAAACAAAGTGGTTAGCGCTAACAATGTTTGGTCCCCATCGGCTCTCATTGGAAGACTGAGCCCTCTTGCTACACTTGTGTTGTTAATGGTGCTGAGAGAACAGCATTAGTGAATTGTCTTGAGTTACCGTTTCTGTCTCCTTTACTTCTTCCTACACTCTCTCACCAGCCCGTCTTCACTGCCTCTGTCATCATTTTCTCACAGCTTTTGTTTGCCGTTTTGTTTTCAAAGAAGAGTGCCTCAGTGAAGCCGTGGTGAGGAGCTATAGGGTTTATTTTCTGCTCATAATATCCAGCGCTGAAAGCCAAGGGATGCGAGGTGTGATGGTGGGAGTGTTTAGGAGGTGAGAAAGGGCCTTTTTTTTCTAGTATTTGTGTGATGATGGCGAGCATTTTACAATCCTGCTGCGTGTCCGTATAATGAGCGGTCGTCTGCTGCTAGCTGCTTCCAATCTGTGAGGCTGTTTTTTTTCCCTGTATGTTGGCCGCTGTGCAGATGGAGCGCTTTGCGGCGGCCTGGATCCGGTGTGATTAATGAAACGCAAATCTGTTGTAGAGGCGCTTTTTTTCTCCCGACTCCTCGTTACATGCCGAAAACACCTTCACACCGGTCACTCAGAATGCAATATGAGTCTGGGGGATATACAGGTTTCAGCCTTGGCTGCTTGGTAACATTTCGTTGCCAGTAATTGATTTTTGTTCTGATGCTCGATAGCCCACAATGTCCTGCTAAGTGTTCCAGCAGCAAGTGATAGCTCAGTAGAGGAGTAGTTACATAAATCACAAGCTCTGTAATGCACCTCTAAATGTTTTGACTGTTTAGATTCAGGTAAAAAAGAAAATACCTGCTGTGAAGGTAAGAGTCCAGCGTTGTTGGATGGTGGAATAACTTTGGTTGAATATATTCGTGTTATGTTTACATTCTACAGGAAGAGGAAGAGACAGATTCTTTATGAATGAAAATACAGAAAAATAGAAACATATTTCACAAAAACCAAGAGATAAATGAACAGAGACAGTTAATATCCTGGATTGTGTCTTTATGGCTTGAATCCTAGATGGACATATTGTCCATGAGTTTTTTGCACGTGTCAATTTTTGTTATAGTAAACTTTCAACCGGTGATAAACTTTAGCATTAAGAACTATTGTACTGTAGAAAGCAATATTGATCCAGCAGCTCGTATAAAACATGGATACACACAGGAATGAAGACATTGAGGAGCCGCTCACATGTCACGTTTGTTTACGTCCGTCAAATCCATTGTCAGCGTAGACGTTCTCACGTAGTTAAATGCCGATGAGATGAATCAACATTGATCCACATCCTCGCATATGTAGCTAAACAAACTAGCATGCGGCTAGTTAGCTGGTTAGCTGGAATGTTGCCCCAGAAGTAGATGCAGTAGCATTTAGCTACATCAGCTAATCCAGGTGTTTACGCTCGCTCAGATTCAACAAATACAGAAATATTTGAGCATTTGAAAGAATTTATGTAAACTTACATTTATTTGGAAAGATTTAGGATTGATTGTTCCAATCACAGTGTTTTGTTGGAGTCACTTTTCCCAGAATCTTTTAAGAATTGTGGCAATTGTAAAAATGGCAATTATTGACTAACAAATATCAGGAAAACTTTTTTAAAAGACAAAGAAATTAATACAATAAAATCAAATATATAGAAATGGCCAATTAGCTCCGAATGGGCACAATCAAATTATGAATTAATTAAAAGAAGACCTAGGATGAAAAATAGTGTAAAATATTGAATTAACAATGATTCACATTTGAGAAGCTGGAACCAGTGGCTGTAAATTGCTTAGCAAAATTGGTACCGGTTGATTATTTAAATTGTAGGCTTCTGTATATTCTTGACTTGACTTATTTGGAGAACGATAGTTGTGAGTGAAGGACGGACTGAAAGAGGAGATCCTTCTCTCATCCCACCGAGGAGTTTATTTTTAAAAACCCTTCAATCAATGAGTGCCATTGTTTGTCGCTGCAGGACTCTCAAGTTCACCCACAAAGATCGCCGTCGACCGACGGAGGCAATCGACATCATCTTTTGATTTGATTGTCCTTAACGTTGTTTGTCTGGAATAGGACAGCGGTCATGATGTTGTTCGTTTTTTCATACCGGCTGCTTGAAAGCCACATCCGCCTCAAGACTGCTGACACAGCTGTTCCTTAAAAGCTGGCTCGGTGCTGCTTGGTGCAGTCTGCAGAGATGGGATGGTGCTGATCTCCGCCTGTCACCTTCACCTGTTTCACCCACACAGAGGGAAACTGTTGACTTTAGTGCTTTGTTGAACCAGACTTATGGGACAGATTTTAAATGTCATTGTCAAACTTCTCCAAACTCAAGGTATTAATAGATATAAGCTGCTTTAGCTGCGAGCTTTCCTGATCCGTCTTCTTAGAGGACCTGACTAGCAGATATTGTTACTTGGAGTCAGACGTCATCCTCAACACTGGAGGATGCTGTATGTTGAGAGCAACACTTTGCTAACATTTCCACAGT